CGATACTTTGGTACAAAAGCCGACTACGCATTCACCGCCTGCAAGAACGAGCTTGCAAACGCTACGTTGTTGAACTACATGGCACCAAACTCACAATTAACGCTAACCACCGATGCAACCGACGACGCTATGGGTTCCGTAGCACATCAGATCATCAACGGGTAGACACAACCACTGGGATTCTTCTCCAGGAAATTCACATCGACGCAAAAGAAGTACAAAAAGAAGTTTTCACCGACCACAAGCCGCTTATGTACGCCTTCAGTCAAAACAGCGAGAAAGCATCACCTCGACGCGCTCGGCAACTGGATTTTATCAGCCAATTCAGCACCGATATCCGGCACATCTCTGGAGAAGAAAACAACGTGGCTGATCTTCTCTCACGCATCGATGCCATCAAACACGTAAACTTCGACGAGATGGCACTGGAACAGGAAAACGATGCGGAACTACAATCGCTACTTAATTCTGACGCCGAAAAACCCATTTCACTAACAAAATTGTCCCTTGCAGGCTCAAACAAGCCATTGTACTGCCACGTCGCCAATAACCATACACGTCCGTTTGTGCCCAAATGCCTACGCCAAATCGTGGTTGAGGCCCTAGATTCGCTGAGCCATCCGGGAGTTAAGGCAACAAACAAGTTGGTCGAAAAACACTACGGCCCCGCATGGCGAAGGATGTCGCTAAAATCGTACGCTCTTGCATCCCGTGCCAGAAGGCCAAAATCCAACGTCACACCAAATCGCCACTAGGAGAGTACACCGCCAGCGACGCCCGTTTCGAACACATAAATATCGACATAGTCGGCCCGCTGCCTTCATCGAACGGATACCGATACTGCCTCACGTGTATCGATCGTTTCTCAAGATGGCCCGCAGCAATTCCTTTAGTAGACATCACAGCACAATCTTTAGCTAACGCACTGATAACGGGCTGGTTCGCTCAGTACGGTATTCCTCTCCACATCACAACCGATCTGGGTCGACAATTCGAGTCTACATTATTTCAAGAGCTTTCTAAAATTTGTGGTTTTAAGCACCTGCGGACGATGGCGTACCACCCGCAAGCCAATGGTATGATCGAACGCTGGCACAGAACGTTAAAAGCTGCTTTAAAATGCGTCGATCCAATCAACTGGAGAAGTTCCCTGCATCTAATCCTACTCGGGCTTCGCACAACAATCAAAAGTGACATCGGGCTGAGCCCTGCTGAAATGGTTTATGGCACAACACTACGAGTGCCAGGCGGATTTTTTGCACCGAGCACACAAAAACACACTGAGTCCGAGATCACCGAGGCTCTTCAAAAAACCATGTCTCAACTGCCAACCACTAAGCCAGTGCACCATCATACACCGCAAGAATTTGTGTACCCGCACCTAAACCATTGTACCCACGTCTTCGTCCGAGTGGATCGAGTGAAAACCCCGTTGGCAGCAAACTACGAGGGTCCTTTCGAAGTGGTAACAAAACACGACAAATATTTTACACTCAAGGGCCACACAAAGGACAACAAGGTTTCCATCGATCGACTTAAACCAGCTTACATCTTCAAAGACGTAAAGCCTCCAACACAGGAGCAGACGACAGCGCCAACTGCTCAGACACCCGAGAAAGTGTCAAGATCAGGACGACGAATCAGATTCCCAGCAAAGTATCTTTCCCAACTGGAACTCTAGGAAGGGGGTACTGTGGCAACCCTTTTCACTTCTCGTTCTCGACCAAACTCGATAACTCACGCGAGTATCGGTATTACGGGAGTACATCTCCAAGAGACACACTCTCTCGTCTAGCAGCTTCGTCAGCTTCGTCCGCCGCCACTGCAGAGTCTTTGCCGCATTCATCTCCCGATCATCTTTTTAGTTTTAAATATAAGTATATAGTGAACAATAAATATAAGTAAAGTAAAAACTAATTGTTTCTAAGGAGTCAATGAGCCATGATATTATTTTGGGTAGAGATTTTATTCATGCCGGTGGCTATAGCCTGTATTAACATGGATACTCTAGAAGCGGTTTGAGATAAAAAACCATCACCATCTGAGATAAAAACCAAGTCAAGTTTGGATTCTAACAAATTGTTTCACGCGAATACGGAAACACTCAAATTTAAGAAAAGGAAAATTGTTGAGAATAAATTTTTAGGTTACCACGCCTTAGGTTACCAGGTTACCATAATGAAAATGAAACAAAGCAAAAAACTGTTAAGAAAAAAGTTAAGAAAACTGTTACGAGCAAAGACAATTTGCAACTGTTAAGTGAAGAAAATGTTATAGGTACTGTCGGCCCAACGCTCAAAAAAGTTTTTAAGAAAATGCTTAAGAAAAGTATATAAATATATGTATATATAAAAATAATAATGCAAATATTTTAATTATAGAAACGAACAGTTTTGAAGACATTTTAGTTATTTGCCAAGGGCCTTACCTTGGTATAAAAGAATAAAAATGATGAAGAAAAGATTAGAAAAAAGTAAAAAGAAAAAAGATAAAATGTATAAAATGAAAAATGGAATTCCATATAGGAAATCAAACGATGGCAGGATACACTTTTATGTACTGAAGACATGGAAAATCATGTACTACATAAATATCACAACGAATTAGTGCACATAGGCAAGAACAGAATAATGGAAGCAATTAGTAAAATTTATGGGTTTAAGAATTTAAAAGATAAATGCATGACCCATATTGGAAATTGTTTTCATTGTTGACTAAATTTAAAATTAACAGAATTATATAGCTATGTATATGGGCTATTCCGAGAATGAGAATGAGAATGTTCAAATAAAAATATGTTGAGAATGTTCAAATAAAAATATCAAATAATGACAGAGATACAGCTCATAATTCGAGAGCGCGCCTACACCGAATAGTATGAGTTACTCGGTAGCGTCTAAACTTTAAACGCGTTTTTCTCGGAACTACATTTTTGTGTGCGGCGCAGGTGTTTCACAAAATTCTATGGTACCGATCTAGCTAAAATTTGGATATGTTGTTCTAAAAAGTCAGACTTCTGTCCCGTACTAGAATCAATTATTTTTTATAATTAGTTTTTTATTTATCAATATTTTAAAATAAATTTTTTTAATTTTGTTTTGGATGAGCCGTCGAAATCACCTGCGCCAGGGACCTACCACTTTTTTTAGATGCATACTTTGGCATGCTATAAAGTGTATTAAACTACACAAAAATAAATAAAAATAAATATTTTCAAATATTTTGTGATGCCTATAAAGACATATTCAAAAATTGAAACGATCGCATTATTTTGCATTACAAACAAGAAAGGAAAGCTAACTTCGGGCGGAGCCGAAGTTGATATACCCTTGCAGTTAAAACCGTATATATATCGCAAACATCGGATATAGTTGGCCGATCCTTATGGGAATAAAATAATATAACCCAATTTATTATAATATAAAATCTAAAAAAAAGTCCCAAACTTCTATCTTCAAAAATACCAGAGTTGGTATTTCTACCAAAAAACATTTTCGATCGTTCAGTTATATGGCAGCTAAAAGATATAGTCGGCCGATCGTTATGAAATTTGGTAGGTCGAATTAACTGACCAAAAATATAATCTGTACCAAGTTTCAGCTTTCTATCTTCAAAAACACGAAAGTTTGGTCATTTCCGATCGTTCAGTTATATGGCAGCTATAGGATATAGTCGGCCGATCCTTATGAAATTTGGAATGACGTAATGTTTTGCCAAAAATAGCTCTCATGTCAAATTTAAACTCTCTAACTCTAAAAACATAAAAGTTATACCATTTCCGATCAATCAGTTATATGGCAGCTATAGGATATAGTCGGCCGATCCGGGCCGTTCCGACTTATATACTGCGTGCAAAGGAAAGAAGGGTGTGTGCAAAGTTTCAAGACGATAGCTTTAAAACTGAGAGACTAGTTCGCGTAGAAACAGACAGACGGACAGACAGACGGACAGACAGACGGACAGACAGACGGACAGACGGACATGCTCATATCAACTCAGGAGGTGATCCTGATCTCCGACCCTATACTTTATAGGGTCGGAGATGTCTCCTTCACTGCGTTGCACACTTTTGACCAAAATTATAATACCCTCTGCAAGGGTATAAAAATTTTTGTTTAAATAACCTCTAAAAGTAGGCCTGAAAATGGGACTACACCCTTAATATTGGTTTGTATCAGGGGTGGGCAAGCCCATGGCTCCTCGGGCTCTCAAGGCTCCCCCCGTTATTCGTAATTTTTGGCGCCAACAAATCGGTCCAGACGATCGAGTCGCGCGGTCAGTGAGCCGTGAAGATTTACTAAAACAATGCTACACAAATTCCGAGGCAGGTAGCGGGCCCGACCCCACGGTCCCGAGTTTGCAACAACAATTATTAAGGGTCCGTTTGCGCACAACGCGACGACAACCATCGCGAGGGTGGTGGTTGTTGTTGTAATTTGTTGTTTGGCCAAGCTGCGGCTCCGACCGTTAGATTTCGTGCCTGGTTAAAAATAAAAAATAAAAAAAAAAATGTATTATAAAATGTAAAAATGTAGGTACAAATGTAGTAAAAATGTGTTCGTTGTTTGGTGCTTCATTTCCGCACCGTTATTTGATAGTCGCGCTTAGTTAAAAAGTCAAAAACAGGTTTCGTCTAAATAATTATGCCGACTAGGATATGGGTTTATAACCTCTAAAAATCTTAAAATGAACTATAAAAATAGTTTGGCGTTAAATGTTTTTTAAAAAACATTCCTGTACTGGCGCTACAGAATTTTCCATGTTACATACATGTTACATTCCATGTTACATTCCTCGGCCAGTGGAAGACGTGCCATGCATGTTTTATATTCCACAACGACCATATATGTCAATCGGAAGTTAATACAATATACCCTTGTACTAACCTAGTCCCGGTTTAATAATAACATTAAGAAACGGTCGCTATTTTTTGTTGGGCTGTGTTTGTTGGCCATGTATCTGGGCAGATATTTCTAATAACTAAATTTTGTTATTCTCAGGTGGAGATGCAGCAACTACGACATGCATATAACCGGCTAATAAATCAAATGAATAATATTTATAGTCAAAGACTTTGGTTTATAATGCTTGAACAATTTTTTATGAAATACGTTTGGTCTGGTACTGGAATGGTTATGGTGTCGCTTCCAATCTTGACAGGAAGTGATAGTAGAACTTCGACAGGTCATATCAACAAAGAATCAAATGTTAGTGAACGCACTCAATATTTAACAACAGCTAGAAATTTACTTATTTCTGCGGCGGATGCAATTGAGAGGTTGATGTCCTCCTATAAAGAGATAGTGGCTCTTGCTGGTTACACTTCCCGGGTTGCTGGAATGATGGATGTATTTGAGGAAACCGCTCAAGGAGTTTATTGCAAGGCTACTGTTGTAAACAATGATGATAAGAATGCAATTATTGAGTTCCGTAATGGAAAACCAATTGCAAAGGGTCGCATAGTTTATACAAATGATCCAAATAATATGGCGATTACCCTAAGAGAGGTCCCAGTAGTGACGCCTAACTGTGATATAGTTGTACCCAACTTAACATTATGTATACAGCCTGGTGTACATTTATTAATAACTGGCCCAAATGGATGCGGAAAGTCAAGTTTGTTCCGGATATTAAGTGGACTTTGGCCAATATATGCTGGCGAATTACAAATTCCTCGGCCAGTGGAAGACGTGCCATGCATGTTTTATATTCCACAACGACCATATATGTCAATCGGAAGTTTATGCGACCAAATAATATACCCTGATACACGGGATGATATGAAGCGCAAGAAAATAACTGATAAAGAATTAAACAATATTTTAAAAATGGTTAGCCTTGAACACATTGTCCAACGGTAAGTAATTGTAATTTCGAAAATTCTCATCATCATGAGAATTGTCGACCCAATGGATTAATATATTTTTGATCAGGATTACCTCCTTAGCCCATATAAGCATGTCCGTTTGTCTGTTTCTACGTGTTTCTACGTGTTTCTACTAGTCTCTCTGTTTCAAACTTTTCGCACATCCTACTTTACTTTGCACGCTGTATATAAGTGGAAACGGCTGTTCGGCCGACTATATTTTAAAGTTGACAGTTATAGGCTTAACTTTGGCATTTTTAAAGATAGAAGCCTTAACTCTTTTTATAATAAACTTTTGAAAATAAACTCTTTATATAAAGGCATCCTCATAAGTATCGGATAAGTATCCAATATTTGTGAAGAAATATCCAACATTAACTGCAAGACTATACTATGTACTACTATATACAACTTTATAGTATATAATTTTCATAGAATTGCATATAGTATATTAGTAATATACTACTAATTATAATTATAATATTTGTTATTCCTAATTCCAGTGATGGATTTGACGTTGTCCGCGATTGGAAGGATATATTATCCGGAGGAGAAAAACAACGAATGGCTATTGCTCGCCTTTTCTATCATAAGTAAAATTGTATTTTTAATACATTTATAAATTTTTGCACTAATTCAATAATTTATTTAAGGCCACAGTATGCCCTTCTTGATGAATGCACAAGTGCAGTATCAATTGACGTTGAGAGTTCAATTTATAAAATTGCCAAAGATATGGGAATTACTCTATTAACAATTACGCATAGACCGACGTTATGGTAAGCAAGAGTAACATAATGTAGAATTTCAAGTTATTAATTTTTTACCTTAATTAGGAAATACCATACTCATATTCTCGAATTTGATGGTTTAGGAAACTGGAGTTTTAGACAAATGGATGAGAACGAGCAACAAAACCATAAGTTCCTTCAATAAATCACTGAATGCTTATAATAAATATATTGGGTGTGTTGCAAAATTAAAGATTTCTTTAAATAAAATATGCGGGTAATTTTACCTGCAAATGTAATTATCTGTTTAATATTTCACTTTTATATTTGATTTGAATTGAAGGTTCTAAAAATTTCAGTAAGCAAAAAATATGGCAATGTGAAAAATAATACACCAACGGAACAATACGAAAGCAAAGATGTTGCCAAACAAAAAATTTTCCGCTCTTTTACTTAAGAATCTTTAACTAAATACAGGGTGGGCCATTTAAAGTTGACCCACTTGATTCTTAAAACAAACACCCAAAAAAAAGTGGACAATTTTTTTTTATTCCAAAAATCATTTATTTGGGTCCAAGTAGTTTAAGTCATTTGTAGTTTTATTTATTAGGTGTAAGTTGTTATGTTATGTAGCCATGTAAGGATTTGTCCGTTGGCGAAATAAATAAAAGGGAGATCATCCGTTCCTCGGGAATTGTTGTTGATTACGAATTAAATAAAGAAAATGTTTGATAACAAAAAAATAACAAGTTAAGATAATCCATTCTGTGGAAAACTTCTCTTAATGACTTTTTACTACAAAAAATTTAATCCGGCAGCCACTGATTTCTGTTAAGCATAAGGAGCGTGTTTAAATGTTTTTGCTTCAAAGAAGTTCGTCTATCCGATATAATTTGACCGGCTCTTATAAACATCCTCTCCGATTCGGTGGATGAAGCCGGGATGCAGAGGTACCGCTTGGCGACTGCAGCCAAGCTTGGGTACTCCAAGAAATGAGTCTGTAGATAAAAAAACGGTTACATATATAATTTTAAAACATTTTATATAATTTGAAAAATATTGTTTTTATTAATTACCTTCCAATACGTAAGAGTCTCCAGAGACTGCATAGAGTTAGGCTTCTCTGTGAACTGCCTAAGTGCCAAGATTGAGTCCACCCTCTTGTTTTTTATTTTAGTTTGACATTTTTCTTGAACGTACCCAATTAGATCCAATCCGTCGACCTCTATTTGTGATTGTTCTTCTTGCTCTACTTCGATTGTAGGAGAAATTGTTAGCTCATCCTCTAACGCCTTTATGGCCTCCGCGGCGTTGAAAGGACTTCTAAAAGCCTCCTTCTTAAATCTCGGATCCAACATAGTGGCAATCCTAGTTACCGTCCTTGTCTCGAACTTAAACAATCGAGCTTCAACTCCTTTCTTTAATAACTCACAGACTTCAAGTCCTTCTGTGGTTTTCAATTTGGTTGTATTTTTTTCTAAGTTTAAGAACAATCCGCACGCCACCGGTATTATTAAAGAAATTGTCACCTTTGTATCGCCAGAGACATAATCTTTTCAGCATATTGAACGCGCTATTCCAGTGGGTTGGCACTTCTTGAATTAGGCTATATGCATTATCACCTTGAGCCGTCTTTAATTTGGCATAAGCAGTGGCGCTACTTTTAAAATACGTCACAATTGCTTTGCACTTACCAAGTGCCGTCTTGACAAGCGATGAGGACAAAACATCTTGTTCAACAAGATTTAGGGTATGAGCGAAACATCCCAAATGACGCTTCTTAAGAAGTTTGCACGCATTTACCATCGTAGCTGCGTTGTCCGTGACAATTGCAATCACTTTGTTAAAAATATGCCATTCATTCAACGCGAGCTCCAAAGTGTGTGCAATATTTTGTCCGGTGTGATTATGTTCATTGGCAAGAGGCATGGTTGACAAAACCACCGACTTCAGCTCAAAATCACTAATAAAGTGTCAGGTTATTGTCAAATAATTAGTGTTCGCTTTTGATGTCCATCCGTCAGTCGTGATTGCACAATATTCTGCATAAGATGTCTTGAAGTTTTGCGATCATACTTAAATGCATGTTTTTTAGATAGATATCGCGAATCTGGTACCGACTTGGTACTTTGTATTTGGGATCAACAATTTTGAGGAGGTTGATAAAACCCTCGTTTTCAACAATTGAAATGGGCTGAACGTACGTGGCGATCATTTTTGCCACTGCCATATCGATGCTATGTTTACGTTTTGATGCGTCCTCATACGTCTTGGCGCTCTCAAAAAACGCAGTTATTTTAGGTACGGGAATTTCTGAAGATTTGTGCTCCAGGTGCTTCCTCGTCAGATGGTCTTTCAAGTTAGACGTATTTCCGCTTGTACGATACGACTTTCAACATATATTGCACCTAGCAGTCCCATCTGTACCACGTGTGAAGAACGTCCACACCTCGGACACCAATAGTTTCTTTGGCTTATTCGCTGCACTCACCTCGTTGTTGTTGTTATCTATTAAACAAAATACACAAGACATACATACATATACGTACACTAATGAATTCTACGGATTTACCTGCTTTTGTTGCCAAAAACTTGTCCATTTTTCACTCTTCATAAATTTTTTGTTTTTTCTGGAACGACGCTTCTGCAACTAGTGATGTTAAATAAACGCGATACATCGAAGGTGGAAAAAAAAATCGATGCATCGCACAGCCCAGCCCAGCCCAGCCATAATATCGATAGTACTATCGATGCTTTTACAGCTCTACCCTGCAGTTAATACCGGATATATATGGCAAAAATCAGATATAGTTGGCTGATGCTTATGAGAATATCATAATATAACCAATTCGTTACGATACAAAATCTAAAAAAAGTCTTAAAATTCTATCTTCAAGAACACTGAAGAACGTTCAGTTATCCCCAGATCCCCAGATTCAGATCCCAAATCAGCAGCTATAGGATATAGTCGGACAATCCTCATGAAATTTGGTGGGTCGTATTATTAAAAAAAAAAAATCATTCGTACAAAACTCTCTTACTTTAAAAACACCGAAGTTATAGCATTTCCGATCAATTAGTTATATGGAAGCTATAGGATATAATCGGCCGATCCCGGCCGTTCCGACTTATATACTGCGTGCAAAGATAAGCACGGTGTGTGCAAAGTTTAAAGTCGATAGCTTTAAAACTGAGAGACAAGTTTACTTAGAAACAGGCAGACGGGCAGACAGACAGACGCACATGCTCATGACCCACATATAACTCAGGAGGTGATCCTGATCAAAATATATATACTTTTTAGGGTCGGAGATGTCTTCTTCACTGCGTTGCACACTTTTGAAAAAAGTTGCAAGAAAAGAAAGCAAACTTTGGGTAGAGCACGGGTGTGTTGCTAAGCTGGGCCATTCTTAAGATTTTCGACATTTAATCGCCCATTCTGTATTACCCATTCTCCCATAAAAATCTTTTCAAATTAAAAAAAAAATACATTTTTTAAGAAAAAAAAAATTATCTTTATGTTTTATTATTATTTAAATTTATTAAATTTATTTTATTATTTTATAATTATTGAATTTATTAAAATTTTTTTTCTATGAAAGCCCTGACCTCAAAATGCTGTTTCGGTTCCCTATCGGATACAGAATGGCGACGATATTGACATTTAAATATATGAAAAAATTAACAGGGAATGCTAATTTTGAAGGGATTTATATCACATTTCTGATTTCAAATATACTCGCCATTTTGCATTGGATTGCGAACGGAGAAAAAAACATATTACATTACACATCGTTTCAAATTAAGTACCGGCCCCGTATCCATATCCATATATTCGGTATAGCGGTATGCTGTACCCAGGACGAGGAGATAATCGATGCAATGATTTGCTACTTGGAGTCGGCCGCGAAACGACCTGCACCTATGCAGAAGAACGCGATACCAAGAGGTATCGTAGAGGCCTTTGAGTGCCGCTAGACTGTCTGAGAAGTTGCAGATTGTGTCTTGATTGCCAGTAAGGGATGGGAATCTAAGTGCTTCCCCGATGGCTATTACTTCAGCTTGAAACACACTACAGTGGTCGGGGAGTCTGAAGGACTCATTTAAACACAACCGGTCGCAGTGGAAACCGCCTCCCACCTGGCCATTCAATTTTGAACAGTCTATATCAATATGAAGGGAACCGGCTGGTCCCGGGATTTGTGTGGCCCATTCCTCCCTCGTTGGAATGGATACCTTATATTTTAAGGTGGGATGATCAACAGGTATACATACGTCTGTAGCCCTCGTAGGCGTGAATTGGTGTAGGTCCAACTTGGTATGTCCATAATTGGTCCATTTCCATACCCCCGTCTCGCGTAGCCTTATTGCTGGTAGCGTGGCTATCTTGGCCCCCACTATCTATACAGGTAAAAGGTCGGGTATGAAGTCTAGGGCGTCTTTTGGTGTGGTACGTAGGCTGCCTGTAATGCCGACCACCGCCATCCATTGCGTTGTCCTAAATTTTTCTCTACATGTGGAGTTTGTGAAAGCAGGCCACCAGACCACCAACCCGTAGAATAGGATGGGTCTTATGACTGCTGTGTAAAGCCATCTGACTATCTGACTTCCAGTCCAGTTTCCTGTCAAGCGTAATCCCTAGGTACTTGGCGTTATCACTGAGGGAGAGTGTTTCTTCTGATAGTTTTGGAAGCCTTAAATTTGTTATTTTGTCCCTAGAAAGTGAAGAGGACATGCTCGGTTTTGGATGGGCTTAACCTAGTCCGTTCCTAACTGCCTATGTTGAGACTGCGACAACATCCGCCAACGCGATAACTTTGCAAACACCACCTTCTAGTATCGTAGAGTGCCTCTTATGACGTATCTTTGAATAGATTCTCCTCTTAATGACGCCTCAACAGCCCTGTTTACCAGGATCTGCTTTATAAGCGTACGGATTGATCGTCCATCTATCGAATACGTTGATATTCCTGGTCTCGTCAGCGCATTGATTATCGAACATGGCAGGATGAACGCACTTTGTCTAGAAAATGTCTAGAAAAGCAATAAGTGCGTATTCGTTGTGTCTAAGTCCCTTTTCGACGAACGAGTGATCTCGTGGAATGCCGCCTCCGTGGATCGGCCCTTTCATACGCATGCTGTAATCCCGATTTATCATCTGGGTTGATGATAAGACTTATGTGGAGACTGATTAGTCTCTCCATTGTCTTGAGCAGGAAGGACGACAGGCTTATAGGTCTGAAGTTCTTAGGGGTGCAGTGTGATGGTTTTCCCGCTTTGGGTATGAACACGATCTTCG